GACCCTGGAGAGGGAGGTTGTGGCCGCCGGGTCCCCTTTCTCCTAGGCAACGCCTCCCTGGAGGAGCCCAGGACCCATCCCGCCTCTGTGATTCTGCTCCCCCAATCCTCTCCTCCAGGTCTGGGAGAACCTCTACCTGGAGGCTACCTCCGCTCCCTGGTGAGAAAGGTCAGGCGGGTGCCCGCTCGAGGGAAACGGGCAGGCCGAGCAGTGACCAGAGGAGCCACCAGGGGGAGCCTGTGCCCAAGAGGAGGCCTGGCCTCCGAGCCCAGCCGGGCTGCCCAGCAGCTCCCGCCTGGGTGGCTCCCTGTGGATCCGGGAGTCTGGCCCCCCACCCCCGTCTCCTGACTGCCCAGGTCAGTGTGAACCAAGCCCTGGTGCACTTGTGCGATGTGGACGGGCTTCCCGACGGCCACAGGCAACACGGGGCCAGCCTTCCAGTCCTTGGACCCCCCCTCAACGCCCTCCAGTCCCTGCAGCCCACCCCTCCCCTGGACGCTCACAGGCTCAGGCTTTCCCGCCTGTCCGCCAATCCCAGCGTGGGGACCCGCGGGCGCTGGGTACCACCTGGTGCGTCCCCTCCTTCCACTCCCGCCCCAGCGCCCAAGATGGCCCCAGCCGCCACCCCGGGTGGCCAGGTTCTCCCTTCAGATCCTCCTGACGTACTTCCATGAGGCTCAGGTGTGGATCAACCCGTCGGTCTGGCCTCGGAAAGAAAGCCAGGGAATCTCTGAGTGTGAGGCCTAGGCTAGAGGGACCAGTCAGTTCCCACATCCACAATAATAATCAAACCGATGATGAGCCTGGCATTGTGATGCACACTGAGCACACAGAAACACAAGTGACCATGGTCTTTGCCCTCAAGGAACTTGTATGCTACTCTGGGGGATGGACAAATGACTTGGCTATCACAACATACTAAAAGATTGGCTGGGCCGGTGGCTCACACCTGCAATCCCAGCAATTTTTTGTTGTTGTTGTTGAGTTGGAGTCTCACTCTGTCACCCAGACTGGAGTGCAGTGGCCGCTCCCGGCCACTGCAGCCTCA